GGGGTGGCCCCTGTGCCCGACCCGGGGGAACAAGCCCCCCCTCCCGCGCCTGCTGAGGCGCTGGAGCTGAGGGATCGTCTGTTCCTGAGGAGCTTTCCCGTTTATTTACTGCACTGCTGCCGCTCCCGGGCTGCCTCTGCCGCGGTGCTCACCGCAGGTCCGCGTGTGAGTAACAAGTCTGGTTTCGCCGCCGGAGGGAGTGGCCTGTACGAGGGAGCGGGAACGCGGGGGAGATCCATCCAAATTTATCATTCCTGCCGCAGTTATCTCCTCTATCACCAAAGCAAGGAGGGTATTAAATATAATCCGGCGTATGCCTTCCTTTAACTGGAAAGCACCTTCCAAGAGTTGAGAACGCGGTGGAGTGTTGGGAAGATACCGCCCGGTAGGCATGGGTTCTGGTTCTCGCAGCCTTTAAAGCAGTCTGGTGTTTGTAGAGCGAGCTAGAAGATTTGGCAATCTGTAGCCTCGTGTGATGCCGTACTTTTATGGGCTTTGATGGGGTTTAATTAAAAAAAAAAAAAGTAAACCACAGAAGGTGAAGTTGCTTTTATGTTTTTGCTTATAGCATCAGTACTCTGTCAAGTGGAACCTGTGGGAAGATGGTTTGAAGCATTTATTAAGAGGAGAAACATAAATGTTTCTGCCTCTTTCCAGGAGCTAGAAGATGAGAAGGAACTTTCTGAAGAATCAGGGGATGAAGAATTGCAACTTGAAGAATTTCCTATGTTAAAAACCCTTGATCCAAAGGACTGGAAGGTATTCAGTTGACGTTGTTATAGATTAGTGTTAATTATTTTTGCTGGAAATCTGCTGTCAAAGTTATCTGCCATTCCCAGCTGCTAAAGGTCCCCTTCCTCCCCCACTCCCACCCCCACCTGAACTGGTTTGTGTCCCTTAGCATTATAGCTGGGTTTGTATTTTCCACACGTAAGCAGTTGGTGAGGGCACACTCAAGCGCACATCAGGGTAAGATCTTAGTCTTGAACTGCTGTTTTTCATTTTACTGCCTGTAAGCAGTAAAAGTGTCTCTTCTCCCTGCTACCGCCTCCCTTATTCTGGAATTGCGTTAGCACTCTTGATATTAAAGACAGCAATTCAATCTTCCAATAATTGAACTTTCTAGGATTCAATGCTTTAATCCAATTTAGAGTAAGCTACTTGAATTTCTGTAACAGTGGCTTGATTTATTGATGTTTGGTTATTCAATAATTATGGCCTTTATAACAATTGTTCTTTTTCTAGTATTTATTGAGAGAGGGAAGAATTCTGCCTCTTGCTTTTAAAAGATGGGGAGGAGAACTGTTTTTCTGCATGTGTTGTGTTGTGGTTTTTCAGGTTGCATTTTTCAGTGTTTATTAGGGTTCATTTTTTTTTTTTTTTCCTCAGAATCAAGACCATTATGCAGTTCTTGGGCTAGGAAATATACGATACAGGGCTACTCAGAAACAAATCAAAGCAGCTCGTAAGTACCTTTCCTTCATAAGCGTACCTTTCTTTCACATGTACACAACTGTTTTCCATGTAAAAATACATACATGTCACCAACAAGCTTTTTATTATTTCACAGGCCTAAAAATGCCCGCTCTTTGATTTGTGTTGCTTACCGGCCTTCTAAATTCACTTCACAGCTCCAAAATCCACAGGCTTAAAGCTAGGGAATTCAAAAATTACACAGAGTTCACATCTCAGCTTCCTTGCCTGTGTTTTTCATCAACAACCTTGAGACTGTAACTGTACATTTCTGCATTTTTGAATCTGCAGCCAGGCTCAGTGAAAGCCAGAGAAATACAACTAGCCCTGCCCTACGTGTTTCAGTAGGTTGGTACCTTGAAGCCCCCTTACGATGGTTAGCTGCCGCGTTAATGCCAGTGAATGTTTAAGACGTACACTGCTGTTATCATTCTCATTAGGCTGAGCATTGCATGGGAATGGAGCAGTAGCTCTTGAATTGTCAGGTATTCAAGTAACTGAAGTTACTTAGGCCACTGAGGAGAAGCTCGGTTTTGCTCTTCTTTGGTCATTTTACCATGTGAAAACTGTACAGTTCCTGTGGCTGGCTCTCTGGGATATTACCAAGCTCTTAAAAATGTAGTCTTGTGAGGTTGAGTTTCCTTGACATTTTGGGTAAGTAAACAATAGAACTTGGAAGTGCCACTGTGCTGCTTAATGACGTCACGGGCCTGTGTCTTAAATCATGACGTGATTCAGAAGTGCATGCAGCTGATTGGGGGTATTTTATGGTACTTGCGTATGAAGGAACAACATGTTGGGCTTCACAACTTTTTTTCCTAGAAAGCAATGTGACCAAGAGTTGACTTTGCAAGAAGGGTGCAAGTATTTAGTGGAGGGAGATTTAAAAGTACGCGGAAGGTTGTTCAGTAGCCTTTATGAAATAAGCTGATGGTTTTGTGACTTGATCTTGCAAGCAGTTGCCTGTATAACTGTACTGCTGTGAGTAGAATCACTTTCCCCAGTGAAACCACAGACGAAGATTAAGTTACTCCCAAATGCAAATGGGTGGAAATTAGCAAATTACCAACTTGCCCAGGAAATGACGTTGCCTCAGGTACGTGTTGCTTAGCAGTGCCACCGTGGAGCATGGGCTAATGTAGCACAGAGCAACACCTACTCCGGTGATGGTTAGTGGTCTCACTACTCTTGTCGAGCAAGAACTGGGGCATCTCTCTTTCTAGGATCCTACCAGCACTCAATTATTACATGGTGGTGTAGAGATGTGAGTCTTACAAGGATTCTGATTTGTTCTCAGTGAGTCTTACAAGGATTCTGATTTGTTCTCAGAAGGCAGGTTGCTGTAACTACTTGCATGGTATCTTCTCTCTAGTATTTTATAGTGAGCCAGGAAGGTCCATTTTACGTTGTATGATAATATGGCTAGACCTTTTGGCAAAGAAGTCAGTTTAAAATCTGATTTTACTGTTTAAACGCTAGGACAACTTTGGTAGCAAATTTAGTAGATACTTCATATGTGTTAGTTAAATCTTAGGATTTAAGGCCTAAGTAAAGAGAGAGCTTGACCAGAGTCTTGTGTGTGTGCTTAATGTTACCCATGGGTAAGTGCAGCAGTCTTCGCAGGCTCGTGGCTGTAGTTTCCTTGCTGAATTTCATCTTGGCTTGTGTTTAGAACTTGAGTAAAGGGATAGAACACAATTTTTATTTTATCTGAACTACTTTGCTTTTCATTAGAAATAACAACTAAAATTACCTTATTTATTTTTCTTTATTTTTTCAGTATGATTGCACAGAGAATTGTACAGTTTTGCACAGTTAAGGTCCTGAAACTGCATTATGCTTAAACTGTACACTTACAGGTACTGAAGCACTTTGCTATGCATAATATTAGAATAAGTCCCAGAAAATCAGTACTTCTTCAGCTGATGAAGGTGGAATAGAGTTTCTGAGTTGCGGTTATCTTGTGTCCTAGCAAAGATGAAATAATTCTGACAATAGTGTTAAATGAAAGAGAGTTCATTAACTCATATCTGTTTTCTTCCCGATGTTATTTGGGGTTTGGGTTTTTTTTATTTTTTTAAGTATCTATTCAGAGAAATGTCAGTTGGAATTACTGTATTACTTTGTAGTTTGTGAGAAATAAATTGTTGGTGATGAAGCATTTCTAAACCTCACGCACCTGTTTGCTAGATAAATCCATGGTTTTGAAACATCATCCAGACAAGCGAAAAGCTGCAGGGGAACAGATAGGCGAAGGTGATAATGATTACTTTACATGCATAACTAAAGGTAAGCAATTGATCTCTTTTATTAGATACTGTCTTAATCTACTTGATTATCTGAAATGTATTTGTAGTGCTTTAGTAGGCTTTTAAGGAATTGTCAGTTACTAAAAAGCCGGAGAAGCTCTTTCCCATTTGAGAAAACTGCCTCAATAAATACAGATTACATTAATATAACTTCTCTCTGGGTAGATGCAGTATGGGAATGCAACTGATAGACAAACGGATAGTTTGTCTGCTGTGCCACTTGGTGATAAAATCTGAACATTTGCAGCAGCGTATGCAAAGATGAACCACTAGAGGTAGCCACATACCTGGGATAAACTGGCGTGCTAGAAGGTAATTCCCCTAAAACACCAACAGCAATTGGAAAATCTGAATTCTAATGCACTTACTCTGCCAACAGAGCATCTCTTGATTTGATGTAGAATACCAGTGTCTTCAGCTGCTCTTGTTTGCCCCCAGATGACTGAGTGAAGTCGATTGAATAACATTTCCTTTCTTGCCTGTAGTGACCTAGAACACCACTGCTGGCTGATTCCAGAACCGTAGGGAGTGTTCTAGGTGTATGACTTGTGCCTCCAGAAATGCTTTGGAGTTTGGCTTTTTTGTTTATTTTAAAAAAAATTTTTTTGACTCAATAAGGTCAGGGCAAGAGGAATTTGTGTGTTCTAAACTTTCTTCTGGGTGTCTTCTTACAATATTGGTTAAAATTTAGATGATATGTTAGACAAGCTAATGATATTTTCAGTCTCCCTTAGAGTTGTCAAAAGGAAAAAAAAGTTGCCAAAGGAAATTTTTTTTCCATAGTTGCAGTCCTGTCGAAACTGGCAGGTATTTATAGTAAGAACAACCTGCAACTGAATTCAGGAATATGCTCTGTGTTCTACATGCAAGGAGCAAAATATGTTTCCCCTTAACTGCTTATGATCTAAGTTTAAGGATAAACAGAAAGGAAAGCACAAAGTGGCATGGAAGAGGAGTAATGCTTCCAGGCAGTGCCTTGGAGGAAGGAAATGCAGTGGTAGGGAAGGGCAGTCTGGAGTAGGAGCAAGTGGTAATGGAATGGAGAGAAGAAGCTTGGAAAGGCAGGAGTACACAGCTGGGATTCCGACCTGGGGCTGAGGAAGGAATGAGTGGGAGATAGCGTGCCGGGGGAACTGAGTATGTGGGAGTGGAATTGGTGATCTGTATGAAAGGGAAACCTCTTAAGCGGAAGAGGAACCAATGGATGTGCGCAGAATTTCTTGCATCAGGAAAACGGTGTTAAGGGTTACAGAAGCTCCTAGCTTGTAATGTAGAGGATAACTGGGGTCATTTAGAGTATTGCCAGAGGGAAGTCCCTTCCCAGAGGGAAAGGGAAGACTGGCAGACAGCAGCTCGTTGGTGGTCCCTTGCATTCCTTCCTCGCTCCGTTAACATGCGCAGTGAGATCAGTTTACAGAACCACAGAGCACCAAGGTCTCCTCCAGCTTATCACCTTCTAGATCCGACCTTCACGGTGCAGTGTCCAGGAATGTGCTCAGAGAAGCCCATGAATGATCACAACATCAATTTGATTCCTTTGATGACTTTTCACTCTTATTGAAAAATAGTAGGTATTGTAGAACAGACAAAGTAATTCCACGCTTCCTTGAG